CGCGTTTGATATCGGTATGATACCCATGCGTGTTTCGTGGGGATGCGCATGAAAAACATCATAATGTCGCAGATTTCTCGCAGGAACGTTTAATTCGATGATTTTTAGACGGCCAATAAGTCCATTAAATACTTTGCGGGCGAATCAAATGTCAGGAAACATCCTTCGACAATCTAGCGATGTTAATCCAAGGGTTGAACGTTATTGACCGATAATTATGACACGTATAAGACATGGGTTCACCTCGATGTTTGGCAGGGTACTTGAATTACCAAAGTTCGACAGTATTTCGCACGTTCTCTCGCAATGGCTATACTTATTATATAATTCAGTCTCGACGCTCGTTATTTCGTGACATTTCGTTCATCATTTCGCTGACATTTAAAAAGCTAGTCAAGTAAAATCAACCATCGAGCTGCTATAAATAATTCGATTCTCAAGTTTCGTATGCGCTGTGCACGTACCATCCGAATCGTGCAAAATGTAAAAACCACGTAGATTCGCATAAACCGCTCAGATTTTATCGTCTGTAAATTGCGTTCCGGAAAATATCCGGGACGAACAACCTCGATGCAACAACATCCTCTATTAGAAAACACGATAGTGACCGAGTCTCGCGCTGGTGAAAGCGTCGTAAGCTGCATCGTCGCGCTTTTTGCCGCCGTTTCTTTCATAATTGTCGTGATCGTGTCTGCTCGATCTGCGAATAAACGCGTCACGAGCGCGGACAGCGTTACACATGGGGTCGTTATAGCCCTATGAGAGGCAGTAAGACGTCCACAGAGACTGCACGCCATATGAAACGATGAAAAACCTTCGCTGCGCCGTGATACAGATACCATTCATTAAGTTCAGTGGCGATAAACGACTTCCGGCCTGTTTCTTACAGTCCCGATGCATATTCACTGTGCAACGCGGTTATACGAGCGAAAGTACTTTTAGCGGGAAATTATCGGCGCGCGGCATGCCAGGAAGAACTCATCCTCGAGCGGAAGGCAAGTGCAATGGATAGAAACGCGGAGGAAGCGAAACGAATCGAGTAGCGAAGTCGTTAAACGTGTGGCTATTGGATGCCAGAACTACGAGGATCGATTTCATTTACGACACAGTGTTATGCGGTTGATTATAGAAGAAACGTGTACGTGAAATACTAAAACGCAGATATACCTACAGTGGCTGTAACAAAAGTATTTGTACGATAGATACTCTTATTTTCGCAACGAAATATTTTCCGTCAGATCGCGCGTTTCATTTTCGTACGTTGAAATTTTTCCGATGCGTAGTTATTTAGACCTTACAATTAATTGGCATATAAGCGCTATAATAAATATAATAACGTGCAAGCATTCTCCGTAACTATCGCAAATCGTCCACCAGGTTACATTGATCTATGAAACGAACCGAGTAATCGAACCTGTCTTTAGATTGCGGGGTGCGCTTTTATTCAAACCTCTTTTCCCTTTCGATCGAGTGGCATCGTATATCGTGCACCATAAAGTTTCTAACGGCGGCAGAAAGCACGACGCGCCACAGCACGTCGAAACTCGAGCGGAAAACGAACGCTTCTCGCCTCTGGCTCTGAATCACCGATCCCGATAAACGACTCGCGCAACATTCTCACGGCCGTCGCCGCTTTCGAACCTCCGCGACTCGTTGCATTGTTGCGGCTTTTGCATAATTCCACTTCCGACATTCCGACCGGCGTTTTCGCCCGCGTGGTCACCAACCGGCACGGTTTTACCGGCGAAAGTGCCTTTGATGGTAAATAATCAACAACGATGTAGTCGAGTGGAATCGAGCTGTGTGCGTATCGATGCGGTGGGAGCAAGGAAACGTCAATGGTCGACGGATTGGACGGTTGTTGGCAGCCGCACGATGGGTCTGCGGTTTTGCAAAACGGGCCAGCGGTATGTCGGACACGTCTGACAGGATTACCTGTCGAGTGCTATATCGGTGAGAATCGAATCGACGTAACTCGAGTACCACGTTTTCCTCGCGATAGTCCAGGTGCTTCTGGGATACGAGCCACCACGAGTTTCTCATTCATCCTCCGATACAATGTTTTCGTGCATCGTGCGAGTTCTTCTTTCTGTAGACTACGGTTATAACGAATGCATTTTCTGACGAATTGATAAATATAATTAACCGGTTAATGGCGGAATTTAGTTTTAGAAATTTCTCATGGGATCGGGTCGTAGAGCGCGTAAATAAATACAAGCGACGACAAGTATACTCGTCAAACGTAGTTAACTGGTTACTACGTGCACTCCGTAATTATTAGGACGCAGAAATCAAGACTAACCATAAGAATCTTATTAGATACATCAACTAGGATAGTCACACTTGACGCTGTTAAACGCAGCATCGTTATGGTACGGTGGTAAACGCCTGTTGCGTTCAACACCATTTAGTGTCTTCGGGAGCAAACCGTATCCAACACAGTGCCAAAAGTTTCGTCGACGTCGCAATTAGCTTCGTCAAGAGTCGAAGGACGCGCTGATAACGACGAAAGCAACGCGTATACAGCGTTGAATGCGACAAGATTAACCACAAGAACGCCACGTTTAACAGCGTTAAACGAGATCTTCCCAGAAACTCACTGATCACTGATGCATCTCGAGAAACCGAAACGTATGCAAGGTAATCACTCTCATAAGAATCAACGTAAATACATTTGATTATTCTGACGTATTTGTCAGAACCCTAATTTGCCAGAAAACAGTCTCTCGCGTTCTCTTTGATGTTCCTCGCGAATTGTCACGCAATGGGTAGGCGCAACCTGGAGTTACGTGGATCGTCAGAAGAGAAGAACCTTCGAACTCGGTCGACTAGACCAAAGAACATGCTTGCCTTAAGAGACGGAACTGGGGGAATGTAATAATAGCAAAGAAGAAGAAGAAGAAGGCGTACAGAGAGTACGCCTCCGGCACTTTTCTCCTGGCTTAATCGTTATGGAAAGTCGGAGGATAATATGGGACGTCGGCGCGCCGCAGAATCTCGTAGGAGCAACCAACAATCTCCTGCAAAAACTAAGCGTTGAAACCTGGACTTTCTGACGAACATCGAAAAAGATGACGAAGAAACATTCGTCTGTCCGTACTTATCAGGTTAATCTCGTATGAAACGTCGTTTCTTCGAAATTCGAATTTAGCGGATTAACACCAAAGAATGTTATCCCATCGACGAATGAGTTTCTTACAAGCCAAACTGATCAACCTCAGGTTTATCCTAACACCAATTTCATTATCCAACTTAATAAAAATGGTGCTAACGAATGTACAATATTATTGTTGCGACGATATCAACGTTGAAAATTAAGAACAGGATAGCCCTGGGAAGATTTTCTAAAATCCAGAACAGAAATATTTATCGAAAATAAATATCTCGACGAGCAAAAGTGTGTCAAGATTTCAGTCAGACAATAGTTCAATTAATACAGTTGCTTCGGTGAGAAGCGAAAGTATATTTATTTCAATCGAAGAAAACGAACGTTTCATACGTTCCAACTAAGCTACGGACATTTATGGGAAATCGAAGTCTAAAATCCAACTGTGAAATAATATATGACTATAATTCAAATATATAATTTATATTGGATTGGCAACCAAGTGATTGCGGATTTTGTCAATACCAACTAATAGCAAAATCCGCGATCACTTAGTTGTCAACGTAATATACTAAACGTCGATAGTTCTAGGTGTTAATACAATTTGCGTAGCCCGTTTTCTCTTCGCCTGTACCCATTTTCAACTCGACAAAATTCCAAAAGTTGAGCCTACACACCAGCAGAGTTTGAACAGGTGTATCAGTGACTGATGGTGCGTAACTCGAGCAGAAATTGCGCGTACCGCTTAATCGGTGCGTAACGTGGAAATACGCGCGCCCCATTCGGAGCGTCAAGTGCGGCATCGACGACCGCGGATAATACGCAGGCACACCGCAAGAATCTCGTTCGGTTGGATCGGCTGGTAGGCCACACTGTCGAAGCAAGGTGCGCGTCGAAGCGATACGATGGTGAGATCGGTTCCTTACAACTCTCCTCGAACGCACCAACGCTCTACGACGCTCAAATCTGATAACTTTTTCGAAAGTGCGAAACCTTTCGAACAGCCTTACTCCGTTCGATTCTCTCAATTTCTCAATTCGACATAATACGGTGAATATCCAGACACGGTCGTCCTAAACTCTCGATTTTTGCGTATTGATGAACGTTCGTGTTATTAAACGAGCTACTCAGAAAGCTGATCGACTTCATAAATTAAAGAATAGAAAAAGCTGGGATATCAGATACAAATGTTCTTTAGAATTCACATGGGAATGTACGATTATCTATACGACTAGCGAAGTTAAGAGGATAACTCGTGGATTCATTCGAGAAACTGAATGATCATTGGCGATGAAATTGGGAAATTTATACGAGCGCAGTTGGTTGGTTTAACTTGCGAGAGATTCGAATTCGAACAGCGAACAGGTCCGACCACGTAGCTTCGAAAGTTATGGCAGCAATCTGTCGCGAAAAAGAACGGAATCTGCGAGTAAACTGGTGCTACACCAAGCGCTCTAAACTCTCCATTTTTGCACATTGGCGAACGTTCGCGTTATTAAATTCCAAAGATTGCTGGAAAAGTCTCGACATTAATCTCTCACCGGAGAAGATGCCGATCTCTAAACACACCGGTGTTATCCAACCATCCTAAACTCTCGATTTTTGAGCATCGATTCGTGTCATTAAATCCGAAGCTCAGTGGACAGGTCCGACCAAATTGCTCGAAAGGCCACAGAAGGGGACTCGAATGGTGGAGGTACGGATGGGCACTTGGCTCGCGGTTAAAGGAGGTTGAGTGAACGGGGGACGCGGGTAGACAGCCGAACAGAGAGGAAAAGAGTGGAGATGTGAGAGGAAGAGAGAAGGAGCTGGAGAGGGAAGACAGGGGGGAAGGAGGGAAAGAGAAAGGGGGAAAGAGACAGGAGACGGTGTTTGTAATCAAAGGGGCGATCCGCGGAGCGGCGTGGAAGAAAGTCAGCCTACTGGTGAGCCAGTCCGGCACGGCGCGTTGTCCCGAATGCACGTCGAACCATCGATTTCCGCGTGTGCTGGCCACGTGATCGTGCTCAATCGCCACATATCTTTCCTTGTGTCCGCTGTTGCTGTTGCCGACTTGATCTATTCATCTAGTTCTCGCTTCACGCCTCCAACAACTCGATCGAACGCGATACTTCTTCCAGTTCGAAGAAGTTCTGCCATCGTACATCTCGAATCGATCGCGTAATCACTGGTCGAGCAGATACTGCAGAGAGACTTTAACGGTATACCGCGAAAGGTGGGTTACGCGAGGAAACCTGTACAGCCTGGTAACAAGTCGAAAGAAGCTGCGTTCGAGGATCACGTGGTTCGAATACTGGTGGATGCAAGGGACAGGGACGGTTTGCTAGTCTTCTGGCGATGAAAACGAGTGGCGAATGAATGGTAAGTAGAGGTAATCGTCGTGGGAACTGACCCGGTCGGTTCTATAGGATCGCGAGGCATCGCGATTCCAATTCTTTCGTGTCTTTAGCCGTGAAACAGATTACAGAAACATGATTACAACCCGTACGTGTTTTGACGAAAATCTGACCGATATAGTTATTTTCATAAAACTCTGAACGAAGATACGGAACAAGTCACATTTTCTTTATTTTTCAAGGGGAAACAGTTTTAAGATTCGGTAGGTTGCTGATCAAACTCGTATTACCAAAATTCCACGTGTACTTGGTTCTGGAGCTAAACGCGTGCTTTTTCATCCTATTCAAAATTTTCGGAATATTCCTCATCTTGATAACTAGATAATTAGACATCTCTGATTTTCATAAAATTTATCAACTTGTCGATTATTTTTCAAACACATCTGCATCTTTATGCTTGATGAGTTATTTACAGTTTGCGATCGCGCAATGTGAAAATCCTCCTGTTTAATCGCAGAGTGACATTACGATCGGAATATCAACATACTTACGTACTTATTGTGATTTCGATGGGATTTTACTGTAATCGTAGCCTAGATCGAGGGACTAAACATTAGCTTCATCCTATACATTCAAAGTTGCAAGACCTTCGAAGGTTGATCGTGTAGCGATGCTTACAAGGTCGAGTGGAAGATCGTAGGAATGCGAATGACATCGCGGCTACTATATGAATATAGGCGTGTAATATGAAAGACTCGAAGAAGCATCGTGACAAGTGGACGGACGTACGCAACGAGATAGTAGCATATTGAACGAGACATATTCGAGTTCATACGATCTGGCAGTTCGCTATCGAAACTGCGTACTCGTTTAATCCGTTTAACCAGGTGTCACCGCTACGGCTTCGATGAACGTCACACTGATATGAAATCGAGGGAACGTCAAAAATTATCCTCTTATCGCGCTCTATTATCGAGATACCATTCTTTGAGTTCTCCAACAAACAGTCCTTGACAAACTACGATATCCAACTATCGTAAGGTCATTGTATCGTACAAAATACTTTCAAGCGATTGATAGAACATGGTAGAAATTCTTGTGATTCGTCTCTGGAATAGCAAAATGCCCAATTCACGTATGCACTGGCTCACGAGAATATTAAAACGATTACATAATATTGGACTAAGACCTGTTACTAATAAATATATAAATAATAACGATTAATTAAATGGAAAATACCAAGCACTTAAAACATATTCTTGAATTTCTCGATTTTCTATCAATTTTCTCTAGCTGTGATCTCCCTGATTTTTAGATTCTCTAAATTCTCTTTATTTTTGGTCTCTCCCAATTTTCTCGATCGATTCGGTTACTTCCTAGCGGGAATCAGTTCCTAGTGGGAGTAAAAGGTTGCCGATAATAAGAGACGGCGTTTCCTCTGATCGACAAGAAATCTCTCCGGCGAAACCAGTTTCCATGGTAGAGGACAGTGCGGGGCCTTTGAAAGCCGGTGGCATTTTACATGTTTTTTCCACCGTGAGTGGAGAGACCACGGCGGATCGCCGTGATTTTCTAGCCGCCAGGTATTCATAGTCGATGCCTAGATAATTATTCCTGATTCTCGTGAAAGTTTCGAGCACGCCGACGACGCAAGGAAGCGCCACGCTTGCCAAACAAACAACACGCGGCCCGATCCCTTTACCGCGTGCGCGTAACATTCTAAAGACACGCTGCCTCTCGCAACGAAAGCGATTTTTCTTTTATTCCGACGTTATACAACGCTTCCGTGTTTCTAAGTCATTTCCAAAGCGTTTGGTTCGAGTGGAAATACCGAATGTTATTATTATTAATTCTTAACACGAAAACGCAATAGAATTGATAAAGCTGTAGTTTGACTAAACGATCGTAACGTGGATCGTCTATCCTGTTAAGAACAAACCGTTTAAGGTGTCGTCGAATGCAAGAACGTGAGGAATGTAGTTTTTCTAGGCGTGGAGGCCAAATATCTCGGAGATGATGCTGCACGTGCGCCATAAAAATAGTAATTTCGATTCAATCGAACGTGTTCGACTGCTTCGACTTGAAAGTAAGTTTAAACGAGGGAAATAATGGGCAACTGGATGGGTCGACCGGATACTAATTGAAAAAGATATTAAAAAGAACATTCGAAGGAAAACCAGTCTATAACGACTGTTTAATGTGCAATTTTTGCAAATCAGGCGCTCAAAAGTAATTAATTTTTTCTGGTTGTAATAAAGCATAGTAAGACGATTTCTTAATAATAAGATGAAAAATGTAAGAAGCGAAAGAAAACGCTTGTACACGAGCACCAAGGTGTTGAATAAGTTGAACTGAAACTTCTAAAACAAATTTCGTATAAATTTCGAACGAAGGCTTTCAAGCTTTCGAATTGCAAAATTTCCGCCTTTTAAAGATTCAAATATCTGATATACCTTTGATCACCTTTCGATGCTAATTGCGCGATGAAAATAAAAGTGGAACGATAAATCTTTCCTTTGCGCCCGGTGCAAGCGGCGAAGGAAAAAAAAAGAAGACGGGACGAATTTAAAACGGCGTTTTCCTCGGTGAAACGAATACACGGAGATTTAAGTAATGAATGGAGCACGCTGTCAAAATCCGTGAAGCGTGACGGAGAACGCCGTCGTTATGTAATTCCGCTGCATTGTAACGTCGTTCACGGCTGGGAAAATGCAGAATTCCAAAGGGTTACGGGTATCCACTTAGCCGAGTGTAAACATTTCCGTGCGGAACGCCCGATACTTCCGAATAAGGGCGCCAGCTTTACCTTATACGTAACAATTTATCTATTAACATGCTCGCCTCTGTTTTCCGCGTACCTAACCGCGATGATCGCACGTTTAACATTGGAACTCTGATCACAGCGAACATGAATTCTCATCGATTAATTAGCTAACCATCTTATAACATTTTACTATGAAAGAATAACAAAACCGAACTGATACATAGTAGCGATACTAAAGTAAATTGTACATTCGAAACTAAATTATAATAAAAATAGATTATAATAGAAATAAAAGCAAAATTCATAGAAATTCCAAAGTTTACTAATTTTCGTTCTTACCGTTATCGTACCGAATATTCCGAGAAACATATTCTGATATGTACGATTTATTTTTTCACACAGCATCATCCACTTGCTCGTTATATTATAAATTACCGAGGCACTCTGTACAAGATAATTGCCACGTGGCTAACTACACTCTACGATAGAATGTTACTCGTTCCTATTAACCGTCTTCTACTTCATTCACCTAGAATGCAAAACTAGAATTTCCAGACAAGAATTCATCTGCCGTTAACGCGGAAAAATCGATTTACCGATACAAGATACAAGGACAAGTCTGGTATGGGGAACGATCTAGACGGCGTTCGAAGTAGAATATGTCTGTTCGAGTTAGTTAGGCCAGAAGAGCGCGAGTAGAATGGATACGAGTTGTAGGTCAGTTTCGAGCGGTTTATTAATTCAGAGCAGGTTTAGCTGTCCCGGTTGTTTGACAAACCGATTACACTCGGCCGTAATCGAGCCGTGCATTTATTAGGATGCGGTATAGTTTTGGGTGTCAAGGAGGATGAGCAGTTAGAGGGTTACCCCGAAGAGGGCGAGACCATTACGTGGCAATTTCCTTCTTCGAAGCCTTTGACTCGCTCGTCAAACGTTTCTATGCGCCGAATTCGCTCACGAGGAAATTAATTCCGAGAGATGTAAAAACACGGTGCTGTTTCTAATTGACCGAATCCGCAGAAACGCGCGTGCTCCTAGCGTTCCAATGCGAATTCTAAGATCGTTTATATGGTAACGAACGAGAGATCGTAAACGCCATTCAATGCGGAAGACTACGTTTGGTTGTACGATGTATTCTGTGGTACAGTGGCTTACAGAAGTATTCGAACGCGTACGGAACACTTTTTATGGATACGTTATACGAAACATTGTGAAATTTCATCGATGCTGTAACAAGATACGATTATCATAATTAAATTGGTAAAATTTCGAACGAATCCGAAAACGTACATAGAAATTACGAGATATTTATTGAAAGCATACAGCTCGCAAAGATCATCAAGGTATTTTAACCGTATTATTAAACCACGATACTTTTTTAGTGAGATCATCCTTAACATTATACGTTTAAGATCACCATTCGTACTATACGATAACATTTTACCAAGTATTAGGTCATCCGAAAAGTTTCTTTCCTTTTGTAAGAAAATAATAATTAATTTTTCGTTTTATATTATTTTATCGATTTACGTACGATCCATTTTGTTCTATCAAAATAAAGATTACAACGTTCCACAGATTAGGTTTCATGTTTGTATAAAGACGTGTCTGTGAAAGAAAGACGCTTTTCGGACAACCTATATATGTTTGCAAAAGTGTCTTGTAATTTTGATATATTTTTTAATGTAGGATTAGTTTCAAATTGTATCAAGTTTCAAAATGTTTCGTGTCACATACACGAAGGTACTCTGTTCCTAAATGTGAATTTTCTTAGCGTGCAAATACTTTCGCGAGCCACTGTATCTCGTGAGAATGCGCGTACCGGTAGAATCGGACATTTTTTACTAACACGGCATTTGCTGTTTCTGTTACTTTCCAGCGATTTATCAATCTCGCGAACTTCGTTTACGGCCTCTTATTTTTGCGGCGTCGTGCACGATTTCTGTGTCAAGTTTGAAACGGAACGATGTTATCCGGGGCAGGTGCGATCGATTGGGCGCATCTCGCGAATCGGAACAAGGTTTCGTAATATTTTCACGAAGGTGCTCCGGTGCTGTGAGTGGCGAGAGAGCCGGTATATTGAGAATGTGGCGCTCAGCCCTGCGGCTACGAATTCCGTTACGCGCACTTGTATGGTTCTTCAGCTTCTGCCCGTCCTACACTGGCCACGAATAAATTTTTTTACCATCGAGCCGGCATCGGGATCCTCGACCGGATCCACGCTTCTTTCTCGTAAATTTCGTACAAGGAGAACCAAACCTCTTTCAACTCTTTCGAATCGGATTTTTCTTTTAGCAATGAACGCAATAACGTAATATAAACTGTAATGCACCGGTGTTTTAAGAAATATGTAACTTTTACGATCTCGGTATAAACGTATATTATGATGTTTAAAATGTAATTCTTTTTAACAATGAACGCGGTAGTACGATATAAACTGTCCATCCATTGATAGGTGAAGAAACATTGAAATTGTAATTGAATTTACTAGGCGATCTTTGTTCCTACTGTTTCTATTTAATATCGATATTTATTTATTTAGCTGTTTTTGAATACCTGCGTACTATGTATACAAAATACTAGCGTATTTTGAATACAACGGCAAATAGTTACCGGATACAGATAGGAAAGTAGAAAGAAAAGAAAAGAACAGTTAAAAATAACAATTTTGTACAATACAGATGAGAGAGCACAGTAATGAGGTAATAAAGAAAAATAAACGGTAAATTTAGGATCAAGATACTGGCTCGTAGGCCACTCGCTCGAATGACACGGCACTGGTGGTTTTCTGGTGATTTAAAGTATCAAGATGGTAATATTTAAACTTGTAAGCATGACATCGAAATAGTAACGGTTTTCTTAAAGGTCTGAGTGGCGCATTAAAATTGATCAACGCAAGGATATGCCGACTGTTTGCATGGTCATCGATTATGTTACGTAGCAAAGACAAACCAGCTACAAATCTATGTTCATCCACAGACCTTAGCTCGAGTAATTATTGGTAATCGAATAATCATAGTACGTTCTGCTCATAGAGTAATGCAATCGATTGTTGACAAACCGAAGGAACCTATGTTGAATTCTTTCGGGAAACAGCATGCGTTTAACAAAGTAACAAGACCAAATGGGATATACATACTTCAGGTGGAGTCTGACTAACGAGCAGTATAATAATCTAATCGTTGAAGGCAGCAGAAAATCGGAGGAATGGCGTATAGCATATCCTAAGGCTCTTGAGGATGTGTTTCAGATATTTTTAAAGTAGAGAGGGAGAAGGTCAGTCGAGAGTCCGAATAAACTGCAAGGTCACTGGTGACTTGAACTGGAAAGACAGCGGAGTCTGAAAGTGAATAATGAGAAACAGCAAGAGAATAAGTAGAAGAATAGCGTATCACGTGATATTTGGAAACGTCGAGAACCATCCTACTCGATAAGGACCAAGCATCTAAATTCTCTAAATCAGACTGCAAATACGAACAATTTAGGGGGCTGTTAAAGTATAAAATAGTTGAAGTAACAAACGATCTTTTCTCATGTAAAACTAAAATTACTCGATTATTGGAAAAATCCGATCGTTTAAACATACGTGTATCACGACTAGCTCATCGAAATTTTACGGGTCCATAGTCGCTTGCCTTCTTTCGACTCACCTCCTCCATCTGAAATCAGATCTCTCTTAATATCTCCTCTACAATCAACCCGATGGAAATCATCTTCCATTGAAACGTCCTAATTTAACAAGATTATCCAACTTGCGCAAGGTAGAAAGTTGCCCGAATTCCAAATTCGACAATCTCCGCTATTCCCCGTTTGACAAAATCACGAAAGCGTGAGACGACGATTCGACCAAACAGGCTCCCTAGATTAAATTAAATTTTAGATGCTCGTCCGATCGTTGCCGTGAAAGAAAGTTCGCCGATGCACTCGATCGTTCACGATCAACCACGTACTAAAAAAGGATCTACCATACGCTGGAATCTCTGAAATAAACGTTAACGAGCCTGTACCTTCGTTATTTTATTCTTTATCGTCGAGCTCGATCGTGGCGATCGATATCGTTTTCTAGTAGCCGTTTCGACGTTTTGCGCGGGTCGCGTCCGAAGGTTGCGTGTGCACCTCGGCTGTTTCACCCAGTGATTTACGAGGCTGGAAGCAAGGACTTTCCATTCTCGTGATTCGCGTGAGACGTTCTCCGTGAAAAGGACCCCGTAGCAATATGAAAAATTACGACCGTGATTCCGTAGCGAGCGGTGGGAGGGCAATTGGCGATCAGCTGATCGCTCGACAGTGACCCGGGGTCAATCTACTTTCTATTTCTCGCGTTCTACGGAAATTGGAAGAACAGAGGGAGGAGAAACTGCGTGACGGTCTCGAGTAGAAGTTGGAGGATACTTTCTCGCGACGAGAAGGCGAATATACATATCGTTAGACGATCGGGATGCTGATGAGTGAAAACGAAGGAGGCGGTGAATAAAGAGTCGCCCCTCAAAGACTTATTGGTCGAGACGAGGCGACGGGAATCGCGGGAATCGAGCGACTCTCTGGAAAAGTATTTTCTCTATCGTGAGAAGAGATCGCCGCGAGATCAAGGTATATAGAAGAAAGATCGGTCGGACGATTTTTTCTCTTTCCCCGGGTACCACGATTGTCGTTTGCGTTCCACTCTCGAACGTGCGACAGCCGACCTGTATATCATTCTCAATTAACTTTCCTAACGTACATAAATTTTATTATACTTCTATGCAACCATAATACCTCTCAGATTTTTATTATTGTTTTTCTCACGTGATTACAATTTAAAAATCGCTTGCGTAATGTTGTGAATACGTTTGACACCGTGAAATAGATTTTCCTTCCACATACATGTATTTTACGCTTCTTGTACACTAATAGCAATTTATCCGACGTATGACGTAAACGAAGTTAAAAGTATCTAGTTTTTGTATTTGATGGCAGAAGTGGAAGAAATTTTGAGAACAAACGGATAATTATTTCCTAAATCGTCTATTCTGAATTCTCTGTCATTTTACACATCCCAAAAGTTAATTTCATAGATATATGCGAATATAAGTATATCGTTGGCGATTCATACAACAAAGAAAGATATATTTTAATGATATCTAAGTAGACTAAATCGAAATTCTACGGCGAATACCTGTGATTATAATAATCAAATATATGCAGTGCAAGGGTCAATCTTTTTAAAAATATCGAGGGAAGGAAGAATATGAAATATTTCTCTTTCTCGTAGCAGAAAGAGTTCCAAGCGTTCGTTTTACAGATACAGAAAATTTGTCTTTTTGTCACTACGATCGTTTTCCTGTACCCTTTACACGTAAGTAAGATCTTTTGAGTCAACTTGGAACGCAGCTACGTGTAAAAAGTCGATTTCGCTGGCTGATTTATATTCGTGCATCTTTGATATTTGTTCGTAATTTGCAGCATAATCGTATTATTGTAACAGTACACGAGTAGTTGGGAAAACGAACAGTTACAGCGGGACATGAAAGTTCCGCGTTAAGTTGGTCACGCGAGCTCGCCGGCATGTAGTTAAGATCGCTTAATAACCATCCGAGATGTTCTCGTGCTACGTGACACAGTTTGTCGGCTTGATGACAATCCGCGAGATTTCTGCTTGACAACTGTTCACGCACATTACAATTTCCCCCGACCAGATTCGTGTCTCGAAATCGTCTATGAACTTAGCCTTTCTCTCCTACTTCCTGTGTTAATACCGAGGAAATTCATCTGACAATTGTTACAATTGCCATTTCCCTACATATTTGCGACACTGTACGTATATTCGCTCTTCTCTTGTATTAGCTTGTCCGAAAAGTGTCTTTCTTTTACAGACACATCTTTTACAACGATGCATCTTTATACAAATATGAAACCTAATCTGTCGAACGTTGTGATCTTTATTTTGATAGAACAAAATGGATCATACGTAATTCGATAAAATAATATAAAACGGAAAATGTTGTGCGTCCATTATTTTCTTATGAAACGAAAGAAATTTTTATAATAGTAAGAGTCGTGGTAAGGCATAATCGAATCGATGATTTGTGATTTAAAATCGCTAAGGATTCTCCGGGCGAAATTGTAAAGTTTAAAAGTGAAAAGATGCATAGAATGCGGATAAAACGCAAAAATATGTAAAATATTCAAGGTATTACTCGTTATAACATTTAGTGGATGAGCCAACTCTTCATTTCTGTTCTGCTTCTTTGCTCGTATTCGTAAGAATAAGAATTTGCATACACATTCATGAAATTCTTTTCTGAATATTCAATGTTGACGAGGTTTGTAAGAAAAGTTTCAAAAGCTTTTTATGATTCGGCATAAATTACCAGAATATTTCTATACATATCCGCCGTGAGCATTTGAAAAGATTGCCATAAAATTTGTCTGGGAACATAAATTTAACATTTGGTAAAGGTTAATGACATTCTCTACTTCGTCCAAGCAATATTTTAATCCCCGACAGAAGGAACTACAAATGAAGAAACTGTGACAGCTCCGTACTAGAAATTTCTTACCTCTAGAAGTAAAGTAATCCTCATAAATCCGGCATAACGAAACCAATTAGTTATCGAGAAAGTACATTAAATCACGCAATTACTTTAAGTACACGATGTTCCGAAGAAAGCAGAAAAAGTTTTATTTAAAGAAACGCCGCTCCATATGCACCAACCTAATAAAACCATGCACACGTTTAATCTTCCATCATAGTGTGACAGAGGATAATGAGATCTGATGAGAACATTCCTATCAAATTATATCCGAATTAATGATTCATACCTTAAAATTACCTTTTCTTCTGCTTTCCTGATATGCTAAAAAGTTTCATCTATATGATAATTATTACAAATGTCTTCCACGTATAAAACGGCGCGCACGATGATATCGTGGTACAGCTATTCGAATTAACGGAGAAAGCGGTAATAACGTCGTCTAACGAGTTACGCGTAAAAAGATCGTTTACCCTGTAAAAGCGCGCAAAGTTCGTTCGAACCAGCGAGAAAACTTGTCCATCGATCGATTACGACATAGATCGTCTACAATGGTACGGACCTGCTTTCAGGGAGTGGCCAGCATTCCGGACTCTAAAGATCAGCGGGCTTGCGATGAATGGAACGCTTTAAGAACGATCCGGAAAATGGATGTCGCCAAGAGTGGAACGGAGGATTTCGTGACGGTGGTCAGC